TCCTTTAATTAATGACATGTTAGAAGCTGGAATGCTAGTACCAACACATTTCTGTACAACAGGTCAGTGTGGACCAGAGATTGGGGCTTATCGCAAAAGCCCATAAGCACCATTCAGCACCAACTACTGGGATTTAGATCAGACAATTTTCAGATGCAGCAGTAAGACATATGCCTTTTAAAATTTTTCATAAAGATAGAGTCTTATTATTTTGCCCAGCTTGGTCTTGAACTCCTGGTCTCAAAAGATCTTCCTACCACAATCATCCAAAGTGCTAGGATTATAGGCATGAGTCACCATGCCCAGCTGACTTTGGGCCATGTGGGATAGTCTAAACTAACAATGTAATTTATTGCGGTGGTTGTGGGGGCTTTGGCCACACAGTATCAGTTTTGACCTCTTGAAAGGCTAGAGACTAAATAACTAAGGTAGCCACATCAGCGTTTCCTAAGCTATAACCAACCCTGGATAGAAACCAAGGACATCAAAGCTCGGATGAATATCCCTTGGATTGGCCACACTTTGTGAGTGCTATCTCACAATGCAAACGGGAGAATTAAGTGCTGTACATAAGAAGCCACTGGGAGAGAACAACTGGAATCTTGTGTTTTGTCTCTTGTGGACTCTGCCTCATATGGCTTTTATCTTTGCTAATTCTTTACAGATTTTAATCTGTATTGCTTCAGTGTAATAACCATAACTACAAGTATACTGGCTTTTCTGAATTTTATGAGTCCTTTTCGCAAATCATTGAATATAGGAGTGAACTTGGGGACCCCTGAACACACTCAAAACTGTTTTTGTGACTATAAACTGGAGGGTAATTAGACAGTATCCTTGTACCAGATTCTAGGAATTTATCCCTGAAATGTATTTATATACATGCATTAGGGTACACCGGGCACAGTGGCCCACACCTATAATCCTAGCACTCTGGGAGGCTGGTGGATTACCTGAGCCCATGAGACCAGCCTGAGCAAGGGTGAGATCCCCATCTCTGAAAAAATAGCCAGACTTTGTGGTGGGCACTTGTAGTCCCAGGTACTTGGGAAGCTGGGGCAAGAGGATCATTTGAGCCTAAGAGTTTGAGGTTGCTGTGAGCTATGACACCACAGCACTCTATCAAGGGCAACAAAGTGAGACTCTGTCTCAATTAAAAAAAAAAAAGATATTTATATAATTCTGTTTGTCAGAGCCAAAGACTGGAAACACTGAAAATTCATTAATAAGGTATCAGTTAAAGAAATTATGACTCATCCATTTAATAAAATCTGATGTGCCAGTTTACCAAAAAAAAAAAAAAAAAGATTGGTATATATGAGCTAATATGGGATGACTTTTGAGATAAATGGTTGTTTAGGACAAAGTTAACTTGTAGCTACATGGGAAAGCTCTATTTTCATCTCTGGGGAAGTCTAGGTGTCCAGCTTTGAGTCCTGGCCAAGAGAAGAACATCAAGATAAAGGATGTGCTATGTAAAGTCTGAAACTGCCCTGGTGATTCCCCATGGCAGTTCGTTTACTGATGGTTTTAATCTGGCAGAACTAGAAAGACAGACTGGTTTGATTTTACGACCAAAGGGGCATAAAAACCCTGCCTGGAACTTATGCCTTGAAGTCTTCTGAAGCTAAGGTTCACCACACAGATCTTGATGTTTCAGTCTGAAGACATGCAGGTCTGTGTGTGAATAAGCACCCTGGGAAGCTTGCACGCAGGGCCCAACATTTGCCAGAGTCTCTTTCTCTTGCTGTGTTATATCCTCTGTGTTTAAATAAAAGTTATATGTGAGAATAATCTGGGGGCGGGTCTAGGGTCCTTTCCAAGATCCAGATTTGTGAAATCCTTGCACTAGTTGGTGAAAAGAGCAAGGTCTAAGGCAATATGCAACATTGTAGGAAATAACAGACGTTCTGAAATGCCAGCAAGGAAAGTGGAGAGAGCCAACAAGGATGCTTGGGAACAAACTCTGTTTCCTCATAGATGATGATGTAGTGGGTTGCTGCTGGCTTAAGAAGCAGCAGAGCTTGCAAGTATTCCAAGGACACAGGCTGTGAATAAGACAGCAGTGACACAGCCTAAGATGAAACTTTGATTCAGCACGACTCCACCATGCACAGTGTCACTCGCAGCTATGTGACTTCCTTCACGGCTCTGGGCGTCTGAGGAACTTGCACTGACAGAGGCTGCATCTGCCCCTGCCTGGCATGGCTACTGCACCTTCGCTGGGTGAAGGCTGGGTTCACAGAACCCAAAGCCCACTTAACATGTAAGATATTTGAAAGACGGCACCAGAGAACCTAACTACTGTTGAAACAGTATTTTGGTAAGGATATATATTTGAAATTTCAATTCAAGAGGCTAGAAATACAACTGCTTTCATTTGAATGAAGCTCAGCAGTAAAAGTGGGGGTCTACCAACCAACCGAGGGGTATAGAAATGGTCTTGACTCTGTGCCACTGATGGTGACTATGACTGAGGGCAAGATGGAGACCGAACATGAGGCTAGGAAATGTAAGAGACAGACAGGTGCAGTGAGGATGTGACAGTGGGTTGTCCAAGGGGGCGGACTGAAGCCAAGCTGAGTGGAATGTGCATGTGGGGCTGGAGGTGACACTGAGAAGCAGTGGCAAGACGTGGTCCTGCTTCCCTCTTCCCTTTGGGTCTCCCCTGCTCTCACTCTCTTACCACTGCTACAGGAAAGAAATGAGGCCAAAGTCACAGATGCGCAAGGGACTTCCCTTTCCTGCACCTTATTCACTACCTTTGCACAGACGTGTAATGAGGAGGCTATGAGACAGAACTTGGGTACAAAAAGCAGGGCTTGGAGGAAGGTTCAAATTCAGTAGCACAACAGTGTTTTCTCTGCTTGACTTTACCTCCATCTCTGGTGCTGGAGCAAAAAGGAGGAGGGGTCTCGCAGGGGAGGGGTAGGGATGATGGTATAAGGGCTGAAAGGAGAAAAAGGGAGACAGATATCCTACACGGTCAAAGATAAATATACATCCAGCTCAGAAGAGATTTTTTATAAATAAATTTAAGTACTATTAAGCATAAGTACTTTAGTAAATTTTAACCCTAAACTTTTGGAATTACTGGGGAAAGAAAATTAACTTTGTCCTTGATGACCAAAAATCAGTGTTCTCTCTCCCCATGTCTACCTAGCATCTACCTATCTACCTATGAGATAATGTAGAGAGAAAACGTAATTTAAGTGTTTAAGATTTTAAGAACTAAGTAACATCCCGTTTAAGCAGGCACTGTGGTAAGTATATAATTATAGTAAGTATAGACAGTTTCTGATTTTATTCACCACTGAATGTCTGTAAGATCTCTACCAGGCAATCAAGCGTGTGTGTGTGTGCTATAATCAACTAAAGAAGGACCGCAGCGGCAGTGAGAAAGTGGTGAACAATGGGGATGCTTCTACCATGCCTGTGTGTGGACTGAGAGATAAGGCTTTTACCTGGGAGAGCAAAAAATAAATTTGGGGATGCACACATACAGAAAAATAAAAATATACACTAAAATATGCACCTTTTGGTTCCATAAATGTCCATTAAAAGAAAGAAGTAGAAAATGGGAAAGGAAAGGAAAAGACAAAGGAGCATGAAGAGAGAGAAAATGAAAGAGGAATAAATACAGAAAAAGGAAAAAAGAAAGGGGCAAAAGCTGATCAAGTTACACTAAGGAGTAGACAGACAGAAAGGGGGAAAAAGGAGAAAAAGACAAGCAGCAAAAAGGGGCAGGAATACAGTTCAGAGACCTTGCAGCGTCCCTGCTGTGACTTCACTCTATGGCTGAATTGGACTGTAACTGGATTTACTGGCTTGCTGTTTAGAATTGTTTAGAGTTACTGAAGCTTTAGGGGCTATGCACATGCTTTAAAGCACATATGTCTACTGAACACCTGAATGTGGCTAATCTGAATTGAGATGGCTGTAAGTATAAACACACATCAGATTCTGAAATTAAGAAGAACGTGAAATATTTTGAATATAGTTAGGTTAAACTAAACTTTTACCATATTTCACTTTTTTTTTTAACCTCTTTAAATGTGACCTCTAGCAAATTTAAAATTACCTGTATGGCTCAAGTTATATTTCCCTCAGAATGCATTGCTCTAACACCAAGAGTTTCCTCACCGAAATCAAGGTTGGTAAAGTAGTTTGCTAATGTTAGAATCCCCCCAAACTGCTAAAAACATACCAATATGATGGACTTTTTCATCAATGACCTCACAGTGGTATGGCCACCGTGTCGGGCTCAGTGGACCAGAGGAAGAGACACCATATAAATCTCGTGGTTCACGAAGACGTGGCACCCATCTCCCTAGCTGATATTCCAATAGTAGCTGCGTAGTCCGGGGGAAGAATGAGTCACCAATTGTGTCAGCTAAAAAGAAGATTCAAACACACTTGTGAGTGATAAGAAAGAAAACCCTAATTCCTATAATTTTTTATATAGTTCCTTTTTCTACTATATTTAATTTGTGGATATCATTATAAACATTTAACAACTCATGGCATATTTTAATAAAAATAATGAAATCTTGTAAGTGATTTTCATACTAGTTAAAAAATGGTTGTTGACTTTATATACTATTAATTTATGCTAAATTCTCACCACTACTCTAAAGACATTTGCTTCTTCCAGGTTTTCTAGCAAATCATCTACTTTCTATTCTTCTTAATCACTATATGTCTAATGAGTTAAATACTCTCTAATTCCTCACCACTTACTGGACTGTATTCTCAAATGTTGCTAGAGACTATTCTCAAATGTCACCAGAGACTTCCATCACAGCTTTTTTTTTAGTTCTCATTCTGGGCCTACGTGTGACACAAACCAGGAACATGATTCTCACAGAATATGAGAGGGTTCTCCAAGTACAGTGCAGTGGCCCTGCCTCGCACAGCACGGTAACTCTGTGGCATCAATTTGATGTTGATGATTACTCCTTAAGTGCATTTTCCATTTTTGGTGACAATGAATTTCCCAGTTTTTTCCCTACCTTTCATACACTTGGTTCTCCATTCATCTCACTGACTCCTCTTGCTTAGCCACCTCTGAAATGGGGCTTTTTGCCTAGATTTAGTTTTTGACTATTCTTGTATAACAGCATATATGGCAACTCAGATAACTGGGTTCTAGTCTACTAGTTTATTTCTGTATGATTTCGTTTGGGTAAGGCAGCCTCTTTGAACATAAATCTTTATGTAAATAATGATATCACAGGATTGTTATGCAGAATCATTCATTCTGTAGTTACTGTGCTTCTACAATATGACAAAAACAATAAGCAGACACTGACCAGAGGGGAAAAATAGACACCGTCCCTATCATGATGAGCTTACATTGTAGTACATTAAATACAGAAACAAGATATTTCAGTGATGATAGATGCTACAAAAGAAATAAAATAGAGAACTATAAATCAAAGTGAGAACCAGAGAAAATAGGTGGGAATGATACTTTACACAGCTTGGTCAGGCAAGACTTCTCTGAAGAGGTAACATCTGAGCTGAGACCTGAATAATGAACTCAGCCCTGGAGTAGAGTCTGCTCTGGACTTGTCCTAATAAAGCTGTAAAGCAAGCCTAGAAGTAAAGAAACTCATCCATAAGCAATGTAACTGTTTATCAAAACAAAGTCCAATATTCTTTAATAGAAGGCAACATCATCCAGCAATCAACATACAAAATTCACAAGCCTGTCATTTGTAGGTTAACAGGCAAGAGTCCCACTATGGCAACATAAGTCTAATGCAGGCCTTCTCTTGCACTGATTACAAGTATAGACACAATATGAAACATAACTACCACAGGAGTCTGAAAAGTAAACTAAGGCAAGCTGAGTATGCAGTCAAAACTAGAGAACTACTCTCTGCAGGGAGGTGAGTCCACTTCCTCTTCTTTTCTCTTGCCTCTTTCTCCTGAAGGTAGGCCCCATTCACAGACCAATGCAGTGCTGCAAATGGTGAAATCTCAGATAAAAATCCAATCTTTTTTAATAGAGGACCAAGAACAGAGGTCCTCACAGAGTGGCAGGAATCTGAAGGGAAGAAAGAGACCAGAGAAAGCTATCTCTTAATTCTGTGTGTATATCCATAAGTCTCAATCTAAAACCCGAGCTATGCCAACAGACACTCTCAAACTATGAAAACTGAACTGAAACTTTAACCACACATTTAAATGTCTCGGCTTAACCTTTTAATTACGCATGTGCAAGAGAGTCCCAAACCAACACAGGAAAAGCTTAAGAGAACTCAAAGAACTGAACCAACTATGTATGTCCTAGAACCTCTGAACTACAGAGATATGAGAACACCAAGTCAGCACAGCAAAGGCTCAGAGAACTGACCTGAAATTTGAAATACTACCCACCAACGAGGAGACAGAACTTAGCCTCTGAAAATAACTGCGTTGCCTGCTAGAAAAAAACACTGACATTGTACAGAAGGACCCAATGTTAACATCAAGATGACCTACATATTGAAACTCTCAGATAAAAGTCATTATGCTTCGTGAGATAAGGGGAACATACAGAATTTATGAGAATATAAGATTTCTTAGGAAGGAAATAGATACATTGCTGGTGGGAATATAAAATGGTAGAGCTATTTTAGAAAATGGATTGGCAGTTTCTTATAAAGTATATATTTAGCATATGACTCAACAATACCCCTTCCTAGAAATTTATTCAAGAAAAATGAAAACATGTTACCCAAGGTCTTATATACAAATGTTCATAGGTATTTTACTTGTAATGTAAGATTTACTCGGAATGGAGTAAATGGAGATTTACTTGTAAGATAAAATGTAAGATTCTATTTTGTGAAAGTCTGAAAAAGTCAAATATGGTGGAGAGAAAGCAAAACAGTGATTGTCTTGAGCCAGGAGTGAAAGCTGGAAGGAGAGGCAAAGGGAACATGTGTGGGTGATATAAATGTTTTCCATTTTGATTTTGGAGATGTTCTAAACAATGGGGGCAATATAAACAATGTTAAAACATTACTATGATTGGGAAGTTTATACCAAGAGGGACAATGAATAGATAAATGCCTCTGAAATAATTCTCAACTTTTGCTAGTTAAAACATTGAGTTACTGCCTGCCTTCTAATAGATTGGCAAAATTTTCAAAAGAAAAAAAGGGCAGTGGGAAAAAGTCCGCAAAATAGTTCTACAAAATTTCTATAAGTTTGGGTACAGGTAAGTGTATAAAAGCAAAAAATGTCTAGAAAGATACACACCAAAGACAATGACGGTCAATTCAAAAGTGAAGATTTGTTTTAGGATGGTGGTTATAAAAAAAAATAAAACGGTTAAATGCCTTAATTTCAATTTCAGAATATCTATAAAACATCTATGTAACAAAATCATTTGTACCCCTTTAAAATTTTGAAATAAAATAGATTATCTGTACTAGATATGTAAATATCTGGTAGAAATACTTTAGTATTTAAAAGAATTCTTAATGTATAAATGTTTAAAAATCAAGTTTATATCAAAATTCCCACATACATGTACATCTGCAAATGAATGACTTTATTAAGGAAACTCTTTATATAAGCAAACTTGGTTTAAATAGACATACTGCCAACAGATGGTGTCCATTATAACTTGGGTCACACTGTAAATGCATTTAAAGAGCAAGTTATCTAAAAAAAAATAACACAGTATATATTTACGTTAAATGAAGTCCCTTATAAACTGATCACCACTTTCATTTAATTTCATTTATTATTTTCAAATATTAATCAGGTTTACCGAAAACAAACCTGTAGAGTTTGAACTCCCAAAAGTGACTACATTTCTCTCTCCCTATCAGAATAATTATACCCTATATTACTCAATCTAATTTTTCATTAGTTTCCCCATCTTATTTTGAATCCACTCAAGGTCTTATGATAAAGGGTAGGAAAAAATATATGGATAAGTTCAAACCTGTTATAAGTGTACAGTGATGAATATCTTCACTTACAAATTTCAAGAATGCATCCTCATCCTAAAACAAGAGAATTTTAAAATATTTCTTTTTTAAAAAACAAGTTTCCAAATCCAGTAATTTTTAATGCTTGGTATTGAGTATACCACTTTACTCTTTAACAAATAGGAAAATTAACATTATTATAGGCTGTTTGTCTCAACACTTCAAATGTCCTGAAACCTTAAAGTTTGCATCTTTCATTTCTCTTCTCCTACTTAGTTATAATAATGACTGTAACGAAAGCATAAAGTTCAAAAATTCTTGGTAAATGTGGGAAAATAAATTATTTTTTATTTTATTTTATTTTTTTGAGACAGAGCCTCAAGCTGTCCCCTTGGGTAGAGTGCCGTGGCATCACAGCTCACAGCAACCTCCAATTCTTGGGCTCAAGCGAGTCTCCTGCCTCAGCCTCCCAAGTAGCTGGGACCACAGGCGCCCGCCACAACGCCCAGCTATATTTTGGTTGCAGCCGTCATTGTTGTCAGGCTCGGGCTGGATTCGAACCCGCCACCTTAGGTGTATGTGGCTGTTGCCTTAGTCACTTGAGCCACAGGCGCCGAGCCAATAATTTAAATCAAGAATGAAATTAAACCAAAAAAAGGAAAGAAACAAAGCGATAAACTTAAAGGTTTATGTACATCATTTTCAAGAGTTTATTTTGGGACTTTAATTTATATATATAATTTATACTTTAACATGATATGAAGGAAATCCCTCAGAAAAATGTACTAGAACCAGACAAAATATTTTTAAACTCTATCTTTTCTTTTTTCTTCTTCCATGTCCTTTTCTTTGGGACTTCAGAGCCACACTGAAACTACTATGGTGATACAAATAAAGTAGGAACACAGGAGGTTCTACTATTATACATATTGTGATGTAACAGAATACAATAAAAACATATAGGAAAAAAAGTGAAAATGAATCCTAAAAGTAAAACTCTAATAATTATCATACAGACATTTTAATAAAACCCACAAGAACCTTAGCCAAAATATTTTCTCAGTAAAACAATTTAAATATAGTTCCTCTTCCTAGACAGGGATACTGCATGCGGTAGTAGTTCAGCTTTTTCTATCAAATTATTTCCCAACTTCAATGACAATGATCTAGACATCCAACTGATTCAACAATATTTTAATAGAAAAATTATAACATAAATTTTCTCTCAAGTAAAATAAAGTTGAGAAAAACATACTGATTCATCTTCTTCACTGATTGATCTATCTGAATAATCTTCCTTTTCCGAATCTTCTGACATCTCTTCCAGTGTTTGGCTTGAAATTTCTTTTATTATATGGATTAAGCTGTAAAACAATTTCTAAGGAAATTATTTGACAGTTTCTTTTTTCATCTGAAGGTGTTTATTACATTAACTGAGTACTCAAAAATATATTCAATTGTATTTAACAGTGACAACTGTTTTCTTTAAAAAGTAAATTAGAATGCAGCTAATTTAACTTTCAATTTCAAAAACCTGCAGAAATTTTTCATTACTGTAAGAAACAAAAATCACAATAAAATCAAGCAAATAATTTAATTGAAAAGGGGATTTGCAGAATACACAAATTATTTACATTCTACACATATAATTAAATATTACACATTGATAAAGCAATAGTAAGTTCAGAATGATCCTGAGGAATTAAGTATAAGGAATCAAAGAAAAATATTAAACTTATTCTGTCAGTGAAATATACCACTGTAAGCTTAAAGTCTTTTCTTAATTTTCAACTGAACAAAAGTTCAAATGACTACAGTTCAAATGACTAGACTTTTTCCTTTATAATCTCATAAATATTATCTGTAGATTCTGTCTCTAATATTCAATTATATTATTCTCACTGAAATTGCAATAGCTACCAGATGGTTGTATTGGCGATGACCATTACCTTCTCTGCAAGTACCTTCCACGTGGTTATTACTAGATAACGAGATAATTTAAATTCCTTGTCAAGATCCTGGTTTTTTAGAGACCAAAGGAATTTACCAATTTCAAATCTACCGGTTTAAGCTCTCCTGCACAAAATGCGCGTTTTGGTGTGTGACCTGCGGAGAAGAAAGTCCAGCTCCATAGGAAGTAAATACAAACGCAACGGTGCAAAGTGTCTTACGGGCGACACCTTCAGGATTAGGCTGCAGTTTCGGTCCGGAGATCACAACTCCAAATTTGGAAAACCCGACAGGCATCAATCTTGATTCTGTTTCCTTACTTGCGCCCACGAGGCACACCACCGTGCTGGGCGGCTGCGGACACGACTCCGGCTTCAGGAAAGCCACATGCAGAGTAACTCAGTGGGCGCCCCGGGGATCTTTCGCGTCTGGAGAAGGGACAAAAGCAGGCGCGCCCGCGTCCAGAAGCACCTGGACCGGTCTGCGAGCAGCACGATGGCTTTCAGGGTGGGAAGCTCGATGAAGCCGCGACTCGGGTCGGCCAGGTCTCCGTCCCACGTTCACGTCTCCCTCCGGACCCCGCCGCGGGGGGCCGCGCTCATCCTCCGCGGCGCGCGCGCTTCCCGCAGGGGGCGCCCCGCCTCCACTCTCGCTTCCTTCTCAGGACGTCACTGTCCTCTCTAGGCCGGCCCCTCGTTCCCCGCCCCGAATCCTCTGGTCAGGTCGGTCGTTCTTTCCGTGAGGGGACACTGACTCAGGGTTCCTGCCGCTAGAAGGAGAGCCCTGAACTTTACGCAGCAGTCCCCACGAAGCCCAGCGCCTCTCATTACCAGAGCAACGGGTTCGACATCGCGAGAATTCGAGCAGCCTTCGGGAGTCACCTAGTAACCAGAACGGAGGAAATGAGCCTGCGCGGAGCTTGGGCCAGAGGAAGAGGGAGGCCCGGAGCATGACGGGAGCTGGGGGCAGCGTTGCGGGGTGGGCAGAGACAATCCCGGGGACTCTAGCAAGTTGTGGTGTGGGGGAGAATTTAGGAGTGAAGGCTGGACAGCAGTTCATTCCCAGTGTTCTGCACGTCGGTTTGCCAGGCCCCTTTGGTGGCAGTAAAGCATGCTGGTTAAGACTTGTGCTTTGGAGCCCACCTGACCTTAGGCAGTGTGACTAAGGACAGATGAATTTTCTGGACCTCAGTTTCTTCAAAATGGATACGGTAATTGCAAGTACTACCTGGAGTTGTTGGATTAAAAGTGTGTTGGTCTTTATTTAAACACATAATGAATTCCACTCTAGGTAATTGCTTTATTAATGATCTTTATTCGATTCTGAAAAATGAGACTTTTTTCCCTTAAAAACTAGATGGAGGATTCATAGATGCACTAGGGTGAACTCTCAACTATTATCAGCTCAGAGATTCTTTAAACATAATAATTGTTAGCTAACGTATTGAAAACTATTTTCCCAGTCATTGCAAACGCATTGTCTTATTTAATTAAATGTAAATTTTCCCATAACAGACATTGTGTACGTCCCATTTTGATTTTTCCCTGATCTTTAGCTCTGGTGCATAATTTACTATATTTGGAACAGTTTTCCAAGTGCAGCTGAAAAAAAAAATATGTAGATGTTTGGTGCCAACATAAGGCATTATAGACCACAAGATTTGTGATATTGTAGAAATGGAGATAATGAATGTTAGGGAGTTTGAAAGTAGAATAAAGGATAAAACACTAAGACTTAAACATAAAAATGGGTTAATATTGTCTCTTTAGATATTATAAGTTTCTGAAAATAACAGGTGTTTTTCAGGTTAACAGTTGAGAAGTTTGGACCTTCCCAATTAAACTTTGGCCGGAGAAATGGAGTATATCTGAGATTAAGCTCTCTTGAGCTGGAATGTAAGTCTCATGATTTTTAGTCCAAATATTTACATTGTATGTCAAGTAATCCTTACCAAAAAATTATCTTAGTGCACAATACAAATAATTAGGAATTCTACAAAACTTTGAAACTTGTATTCATTTGTTAATTCAACAAGTCTTTATTGAATATCTGCTACATGTTAGGGACCATTTCCAAAGGATGGTCTTTACAGGGAAAATGCAGACATTCCTTATGGAACTGCTTGGGTGATAACTCCTAGGTAGAGAAATCAAGCAGGGAAACATAAAGAGCATCAGGAGTGCTAGGAGTGGGTGGGCCTTGATAGGGTTGCTTTTTTAGATAGATCAGGAGACATTTGAGTGGATAAATGAACCACAGGATATTTGGGAGAAGATCCTGCCAGGAAGTGGAAGCAGCAAGTGCAAACGTTCTGAGAAGAGGAAATACAGTTGACCTGGAACAATGTGGAGAGTACAGCAGCTGACTCCCACACAGTTGAAAATCCACATATAACTTTGACTCCCCTAAAACTTACTGCCAATTGCCTACTGTTGACTAAGTCTTACCAATACAAGAAAGAGTTGATGAGCACATATTTTGTGTGTTATATGTGTTATGGACTATAATCTTACAACAAAGTAAGTTAGAGAAAAGAAAATGTTATTAAGAAAATCATAAGGAAGAGAAAATATATTTACTATTCATCAGTTGGAAGTGGATCATCAAAAAGTTCTCTGTTCTTAGTCTTCACACTGAATAGGCTGAGGGGGAGGAGGAGGAGAAGTTGATCTGTCTCAGGGGTGGCAGAGGTGGAAGAAAATGTGAATAAAGTCAATCCATGCAGGTCAGGCCCTTGTTCAAGTTTCAGCGGTGTACTTGGCAATATTGTCTCAACAAAGCTTAGCTGGAGTTAGTATTAAGGAAAGATTTCATAAGAACTTCTTTCTTCCTTCAGTAATTTAAAATGGTTTTCTTAAGCATTAAAGAAAACATTAATGCTTCTTTGTTAATTCTTTCCTTCCTCCCCCCCTTTCTTTTTCTTTTTTTTTTTTTAACTGACTTTCCTATTTGAGACAGTAGTATGTGTCGGAAATGAAAGTCTTTGCCGTTAGGTGAAAGTGGAAGTAAGGCCTGGGGAAAATCCCACCTAGGACTAGAAAAGTTGGAATTTTTGTTCCCTTTTCCTGTGATGGCACCAGAGAAGGTGACTGGACAGACTAATTCTATAGCTGGCTTCTCCCTTTCGGGAAGGCAGCTTTATCCCTGCACCAACTTTTCTTTCTGTACTTATTTTGTGAGTTTGCTCCGTGGCTGCAGGCTAAAGGCAATATAATGAAAGACAAAAGAGGAAAAGACAATCTAAATTATAATCCAAAGTACAGTTACTTTTGTAGGAATCAGGGGGAAAGGTCATTCTAACAACATGGCCAAATGTAAGTTGTGTTAGGAATATAATTTACTTTGTGTAATTTTATCATTTTGAATATATTGAGCAGGGGCTTACATGTGGATATGCAGTGACCAGGACAGTCAGTTATTTATGATGTCATAGAAGATAGTGGTCAGGTAGCCCTAGAGATATTGTTACAATTTGACTGAGGAAGCCAGAGTAGGGCCTGGGAGCCCTCAGGTGGTCCAGCACCTATCTGGGCCTTCTTTGGACAATCAGGATCTAGGATGACCTAGGCTAGGGCCAAACCTCTTAAACTATTTCCAAGCTGAAATCTTCAGATCTGTCTCAGCCAGTCAACCAATCAGGACTCAGCTCAGGTGTCCCGTCATTCCCATGATGACACCTTTCCTAATTATGTATCATTAGTAGAATTAATTGTCTGCATTTCAGGACTACAGTGAAGCAATCATTCCCCTTAGTTCTTGGAAATGAGGTGGTAAGAATGCCCCCTGTTTGCTCAATAAATAACAGGACAAATCATCTCAAAAAAGAACAACTTCCAAGGTTGTTGTGAGGTCCATTTTGAGTTGGCTACTCTTTTGCCTTGCTTCTATAATACTTGAGTCCTCTGTTTAGGAATCACCAAAAAGTAATGTTAGTGTCTAGTTTTCTGCAATAGTTTCTGGGTCTTTGGAGGGAAAGGCCTGACCTTCCCCTCTGCATTCTGATTCCCCTTGGTACTCAGTGCCCAAAATGAGGCAGCAGGCACTCACTACGCATGTGAAAAAATGCCTGAACAAAACCGAATGTTCCAAAAAGGTGTGCTGGAGTCTCCTTGGGTGAGCTAGGCCCCAAACTTGGTTTCTATGAATTTAGGAAGGGAAAAAATAGGGCTGATTTATTACAGATAAAAACTGATTGATTGGAAAAACATGAGCATGGATCAGAATGTACACTGTATCTATCTTCTGGAGTGATTTGGGTGAACGTATCTCACAGTTACTGCAGCATCACCTGGGAGCTTATTAGAAGTGCAGACTCCTAGAGAAAAGTCTGCAAAGGTTGTAGGGAGTCTGGAATAGCAGTAGAACGTGTACCCCAAACAAGGGAAAACAGGGTAATGTTAGTCTTTCTTTAGCTCCGGTGGGTCTGGACATTTATTAAGCAAAGAATAGAACTTTCCTTGCTTTTCTAGTTATGTTAAAACCGTCTAGGTGACAGAAGATTTCTAGTAGATAACCCTGGGACCTTTTACAGGGTCTCCAGCAGAAGACCTGTGATCTCTGTCATAGCACAACCTGCTACCACCTGAGCTACATTTGTGCCCCACCCTGAATTGCTTTAAAAGAGGTCCCTTACTCTGCACTTTTGCCATTTTCCATTTTCAGTGGCAGCCTATCTGTTTGCAGATACTCTTAATCTCTGCTTTTAACTCTTAAAAAAAAAAAAAAAGAAATGCAGATTCTTAGGCTCCGCTCCACACCTACTCTGATAGAGTCTGAATTTTAACACAGGTGTTACTTTGAGTACACAACCTTGGGCCTACTGAATAAGAATCTCCTAGGAGTGGAACCCCCATATTTCCATAATTTCATAGCTCCACTGTTCAATTCATTAAGAACTGAAAAACCCTAGTGAACTCGGGACAACTAATTTCCATCATGTGAACAAAACTCAAAGCACCTGTGTTCTAATGTTGGCAGGCACTACACATATGAATAAACCCATTTATTCTAAGAAAAGCAGTTTACTATGGAAGATAGCTGGATAAGGTCAAAAACTAGTTAAGAAATTAATCTTGTGTTAAGTATGGTTGTAGTCCCTTTGCATAATTTTTAGTACATTCAGTAAGAAATTATTGAAGTTTCCTTATCTAGGTAGAAACGACTAGTTGGGCATTCTGAAATTTATTTTCAAGATAGTAAAAGCCATCATCACTAAAAGTATGGCATGGCAAAACTCTTGTTATTCAATCTGCACCAGAGTAATGCAGGAGGCCAGTAGTTTTTGTGGAGCAAGATGCAGGGCTGAGTTGACCCATGAATTATAAATCTGGTAACACAAAATGTCATAAGATAAATGAGCCTCTCAGAACTCCAGAATGTTTACAAAGATTGATAGCAGTACTCTAGCAGAGATTTCATAAATCGAGTTGTCATGAAATCATTATTTTACCACTTACTAAGCACTGTTATGTGTACTGGCACAGGGTACACTTCTGAGCATAAAAAAAACTGTAAGGCAAATATTTTTCTTTGATTACTCCAGGCTGAAGTATTCCCTCCTCCTTCTAAAATAAATGCTGGCATTGACATTCTACATAATTCTTTTACATATGTGTTAACAGCTTTGTTATATTTTATCTTAAATTCTTGGTTTCTTAATACTTTGTTACTTTTCTCATCTTTACCATTGATCATTTGTCTTCTTGCTAGAATAATACAATTGTTCCTTGGAGTGAAGCCAGGTGGCAATCTGTGTGAAGGCCAGATAACTTTAAGCTCACCCTTACTTTTCGGAGGCAGCTCTTTGGAGACCCACCAAAAGCTGGAAGTAGTTTACCAAGCCCTCATCCTTGGCAGTTAGCAGATTCTGACTTACTTTCTTCTATCCCCATTCCACTGCCAAAAGTGTAGCTGTGCCTTTCAGCTGCCTCTTACAGATCAGCATATGCTCAGAAGCAGAAGCAGCCCTAGCATATACAGGAGCAGAAAAGTAACATAGTACAGGTGGCATGTAGCTAGGATGCTGTTGTAATGCCAAAGTGTCAGTAATTACATTAAATATAAAAGAACTAAATACTCCAGGTTAAAGCTCAAAGATAATCAGACTGGATTAAAACTCAAATCCAAATCATGATCTTTTTAAAAAGACGCACATCTAAACTAAAGGATACATAAAAGTTGAAAGTTATGGGATAGAAAAAGTTGAATGATCCAAGTCCTAACCAAAAAACAAGCCACCGTAGTAATACTAGCAGAAAAAAAAAAAAAAACTTGAAGGGAAAAATCTTTGGCACAAATAGAGGGATACTTCATAATGATAAAATATTCAGTTCACTAGGAAGAGATAATGATTCTAGGTCTGTATGCACCTATGTCACCTTAAAATATAGAAAGTAATATTAATAGAAGTACAAGACGAAACAAATCCATAATAACAGCGGGAAATACTTCATATTCCTTTCTCAGTAATAGAACAGAAGAAAACATCAGCAGGATATAGAACCTTTGGACAACATTATTAATATATTTGACAAAGACGCTACGCTCAAGTCATCCAAGTAGTGTAGAAGAACACACGCTGCAGATGTTGAGATCTTTTTTTATCCATTATTCTACCTGGAGCATACATGCAAGCAAGAATAGGAAAAAATTTAAAATACAGAACTTTTCCCACATCAGGCAAGAGACAATTATGTTTTCAAGCTCATCTCCCCAATATGCACATTGTAAAATTAACTTTCCTTCACCCCTAATCTTATTAGTTTGCTACTAAGATTTATTTTTTCATTGCTTAATTGATATTTCACAATTAAGGTAATTATATGAAGACTACCTTGTTATCTAGATTTATCATCCTTCTTGTTAGGACGTAGAGACAAATATACTAATTATTTTTTATAGTTAGAGTTAACGGTGTCAATCCGATGAGCAGGATTTAGGGGACTGTTCAGGAGTTTTAGACTCACAATTTAAAACCTTTATGAAAATCTCAAATTTCAGACCAATTAGTGCTACATAAATATGCACAATTAGTATGAAAAGATAAGTTTGGATTCAAATGGGATCATCAGTGCCTTGCAAACAGTTAAGTACTCTTCAGATGAACAGTGTTTATTATTTCCACCATAAGAGACACTACCTTTGGGAAAATAGTGCAGTCCTTCTTAGGAGAGAGAGCTGACATGTGACAACACCAGCAATGACAGGGAGGATGAAGTGACATTTGATAGTTTTTATTAAGAAGAATTTGGGGGGTTTTTTTGAGATAGAGTCTCACTATGTGGCCCTTGGTAGAGTGCCATGGTGTCACAGCCCACAGCAACCTCCAACTCTTGGGCTTAAGTGATTCTCTTGCCTCAGCCTCCCAAGTAGCTGGGACCACAGGCACCCGCCACAACACCTGGCTACTTTTTGGTTGCAGTTGTCATTGTTGATTTTAGCTGGCCCAGGCCTTGGTGTATGTGGCTGAGGCCCTAATCATTGAGCTAGGGGCGCCACCTAAGAATAATTTTTTAAATCCCTCTTTTTAACCCTTTTCATACATGTTCAGTGAGTTGTTCACAAAGGGGCAATTTTCAATATTTTGTTAGAAAATTACCTGTAATAAGAAACATTTAAAAACATGAAAATGCTTTTCTTCTTTAAAAAGACTGAATCTGAAATATAGGTTTTGCGATGCCATCATCTTTATTGCAATAGACATACCTCTCACAGTCAACATAGTACATAAAATAAGTGAATCAAAGACATTTAGAAGAATTCCATTTATTGTGGATGCATTCTGAGGATATATTTTTATTGCAGCGATCAATTATCAGTGAAAAATATCAAGTGTTCATAAAAGTTTTAGGATGGCAGACTCACAAAACATCCTAGTCAGCTTGCAGTTTTACCTCTTAAAAGACAGAGAACTGTAATTAAACAAGTAAGCAAGGAATTCAATTTTCAAAAGATTAAATCCAAACTGAACAAAATTCTACCTTAAAACTTATTCCATCCAAATATTGGAATAAAAGTCAGGATTGATACATTCTCTTCTCAACTTTAGACTCTAGAAAAATATATAAAGCGATCAGGAGAAGCTCTTGTTCAAAAGTACAACAATGCACTGTCACCTCACCATGAACCTTAATTCAAACTCTGACCCATTTCACTCCAGTGATGGGAGTCAAAGCTAAACAAGGCACTTCTATTTGTAAATTCTAGTTTATCTTATCATAGACTCGTGCGTGTCTACTCTGTCATGAGTGCATGGTTTTTGCAGTCCTGGTGGCTTTGCTTCCTTTGGCCCACATTTGCTAAAAGCTAGGATCCAACTACTCTTTTCTGATTTATGAAGAAAACAGACTTTGTGAGGCAGTGATCACTCCTCACACCAGCCCTGCCGTGCCTAGCTCTTCCAGGGAAATACTGTAGGTTAAAATAACAAAAATAAAAAAACCCCAAACAAACAAACAAACAAAA